ACATCTTTAAGCACTAATAATTTACCATCATTGAAAAAAATTGAATAAAACCAGCGAATACAAATCAAAAAGTGACACTCTTGGTAGTCTGCTTTTTATTTTGATAGCACTCTATACAGATAAACTCCACAACAAACAATAACAAATGCAACTGATAATCCTTTATGGATCCAGTAAAACTTACAGTTACAGTGGTAAAATATTATGCACTGATACAGCGCACAGTAAAAGTGATATGTAATATTAAAAAGATTAAAAAGTACAAGTTGTAGTAAAGTGAATAATATAAAAAGCAAGTACAACAGTATATATAGATTTACAAGATTTACAATATGTATAATACCAAAATAAATAAATGATTAATAATAGATGAATAATAGCAAGCAGAATATGTAATATCAAGGGTGGAATAATACAGAATAGACAATAATGAAGAATAAATTAATAGTAAATTATAAAGTAAAATAAATAATCATGAAATGTAGTTTCATAATAGTATTGTGTAATAATTATTAAACAAAGTAAGAAACAAGTAAGGGGGGAGGAGAGAGAGTGTGTGGTTTGAATATGACCAGGGTAATTCTGGCCATTCATTCAGGGCTATTCTGGGTTTTAACATCATTAGGCTAACGTTGCACATGTGATTTTACCATCAGTAAGTCACTAAATCGATCCCGCCTCTCTCTGGTTCCTTTTCTGTGCCTTAGCCACGTTGTATGTTCCTCTTCGGCTAAAATAGTGATGAAGGCCACATCTCCAAAACCTCTTCTTTTTCTCTTGTCTCCCTGCTTCCTTTCTCCCTTCATCTATCCCATCAGCACCAGCAGGTGTCTCGTCGAGCCGATGAGGAGGGTTTCCCGCCGTAATGGGCGGGTATTTGAGCGGTACACACTGTTGGGGTTCGTGTGCACGCTCCACTTTAAACGCTTTCTTTAGTCGTGAAAACAATAGACATAATACCTAGACGCCTCATTGGCCGCTTTGAGCCGTTGCTGCGATACGTCAACGCGTCCGCCATGTTTGTGAGGGCAAGACTGCCTTAAAAATAAATGGAGGTAAACGGGGAGCTGCGGTTTTTTCTGGATAAAAACACGATAACGTTTACATTTATCAACCGATTTCAGAGGTTTGTGATCTACATGGAGTTAAAAATAACTCTGCCTCCAGTTATTTAGTTAGGTTTGGAAAATTATTAATTTTCGTAAGAAATTGTGAAAACTCACACTTGTCTCACTTGTTGATTTGATTGATTTTTTCGGTTTACAATTCTAATGTTAATGTAGTATAACTGTGACATATACATGTTTTGTAATTTGAATGTACATTAAATGAAATTAAGTTGTTTCATTGCTTTCTCTGTCTTCAACCCCAACATTTTAGCTTTTCTTGTGCTTCAGGTCAGAACACAGCTCATTCCCTTTGAAATACTGGAAGAAAATCAAAATAATACATCTTTAAGCACTAATAATTTTCCATCATTGAGAACATTGAATAAAACCAGCGAATACAAATCAAAAAGTGACACTCTTGGTAGTCTGCTTTTTATTTTGATAGCACTCTACACAGATATAAACTCCACAACAAACAATAACAAATGCAACTGATAATCCTTTATGGATCCAGTAAAACTTACAGTTACAGTGGTAAAATATTATGCACTGATACAGCGCACAGTAAAAGTGATATGTAATATTAAAAAGTATATGTAGTACAAGTTGTAGTAAAGTGAATAATATAAAAAGCAAGTACAACAGTATATATAGATTTACAATAGAATAAATATGTATAATACCAAAATAAATAAATGATTAATAATAGATGAATAATAGCAAGCAGAATATGTAATATCAAGGGTGGAATAATACAGAATAGACAATAATGAAGAATAAATTAATAGTAAATTCTAAAGTAAAATAAATAATCATGAAATGTAGTTTTATAATAGTATTGTGTAATAATTATTAAACAAAGTAAGAAACTTTGGTGGTTAGAATATGAGCAGGGTAATTCTGGCCATTCATTCAGGGCTATTGAATATGACCAGGGTAATTCTGGCCATTCATTCAGGGCTATTCTGGGTTTTAACTAGTACTAATACAACATTAGGCTGTGGAAGTATAGCCTACTCTCTTGGAAATGCAGAGAACAGGCTTTCTTCAGCTTTCCTTAAGGCTTGCGTTGTCCTGTTTGCAATTGGCTAAAAAGGAAAAAAATATATATATAATAAGTCCACATATTTATGATAAGCTATGAAATCCTTATAATCAAATGATGATAAACTTACTCTTTGTAAATAAGTAATGTTAGTGAAATTAAAGAGAGACGCTTTAGCTCCATCCCTAATCCTGACAGTCTGGCATTGTCTTGTCAAAGTGCTCACTGTACATATTGTGCTCATAACACAATTTACTTTATGATATAAACTACAATATAAAAGTTAAAACTTAAGAATTCATTTAAACTTTGATTTCATATAGAGTCTCAGCTTTCACAGCTTACTAGCGATATCGCTAGCTATTAATAGTCTGACACTGGTGGCTAATTAAGCTGTCAACATAAAGCTACAAATGACCAAAAAACATACAGAAACAACTGTTCAGTCCTACCTGTGAAAGATAATACCCCGAGATCTGTTTTTATTATTGTGCGACGGTTTGTAGATGCCCAAGCTGCCGACGAGTCGGGTATGTTTTTCGCCTGTCCCGATATGAGAGTTGCCTTCACCAATATGGCGGCGTCGAACGCACCGAATAACTTTTTGTTGCTATATACTGGCTCAATGAGGTAACCTGTCGAAAGAGTCACTAAAAAAAAGTCAACCATGCACAGATTGATATTTTGTCTGAAACTCGCAAATACAGACAATCAGAGTGATACAAAATAAAGAAAAGACTCAGTGCTGCTGAAGTGTTGCTTGGCTAACCAAAAAACGCGAGAACTGTGGTCCGGAATTAAGTGTTCTATAACGCGTTTGATTATAACTTATAACACAATTTCTCTTGTGAGAAAAAGAGATGTAGTATGTGTGCCGTATGGTTTAAAACATTCTCACTTTATGTCCTGCACAGCAGTGTCTAAATAGTCTTTTTATAGCCATCTCTCTTGTCCCAGAGCTAATCATACTGACCTTCAGCAGCAGGTACTCATGAGTTTTCTACTGTGGGAAAGTCAGTTTTCACAAAGGAGAGTTCAAAAATAGAAAACAAAAAAGTAGAAAACTGGGGAAAGACAAGAGCAAAGAAATAACCTGCTCAAATAGATCTAGAGAAGTATTTATGAAACACTGGCCTAAATCCTCAGTATAGGCTACATATCGCTTAAGATCTGTGTCATGAAAGCAAAACTACATCACCTCATCCCATTCTGAAGGACTGACATACATTTTGTTTGATTTTTGCAGTGTGCATCACGGATGTATTTTGTGTGTTGCGCCCATAGACTGTATAAAAGGTTGCGCCAAGTACAGTATGAACCAATCTGTCAAGTGTTGTACCTTGTCTTCAGGGTGATGCCCAATACCACAGCCACACCACACTAAATGTGGCTAGTGCACGAGAAAATCAGATAAATTACAGTATTTTTTACTATACATTTCAGTAAAATATAAATAATTTACTATAATAATAAAGTATATTTACCATAATTTGTACCATATAAATATTTAAAATATACATAATAGCATATATCTCTGTCATATATATATATATATATACACACGTATAAGTTAGTGCAAATACCATGTAGCTAAAATTACCAGAGCTTGTTGCAGATGCAAATCAAATCAAGCAAAACAAACCGTGGTGGCCAATGAAACCAGCAAGTGAAGTCAAATGATGTGCAATGAACAAATGATGGGTTAGGCTGAAAAGAACAATAGTGTTAACTTCTATTAACACACATCTGTCTGTACAGACAACAATAGAAGGATAAATCATAAACTAACACAGAGCCTTTATGTGAAAAATGATAAGAAAAATAGTAACGGAAAAAAGGGGATAAAGCTTGCACTGATGAGAGACAGAACAAACAAAAAGAGTACAGTGAAAAGTGGAGGGAAGGCAAGAAAAAAAAGATCTGGCCATGTATTACAGCGATTTTTCCATGGTTAAGTGTGTTCTTGCTAAAAACTGATTGGGAGTGCTCTGCAAAATTGCATTTGATTCCAGACAAAATGTGTATAAATGTATGTATACAAACATAAACAAAAAAAATCATGTTTCCCACGATATACTCACAAAAGAAGTCTATGGGGCAAACGTAAGCAATAATAAACATTAAAACACACACACACACATTTTTAGCATGAGACATTTGTTAACATGAATTAAACCCACAAGCATTTTTATTACCATGTAAAGCCAGTAAATATGAGACCACACAACACGCACAAAGAATTGGGACTATTATAATAAAAACATGCGTTTTGAATTTAAACCATTCAAAACGCATTTCCCCATGAAGTACATTACTGCAAAAACAATTTTTGTTCATATTTCAAACTATTCCAAAATATTTTTACAACTTAAAATGCTCTCTATTTTAATATATTTTAAAGTGGAATTTATTCCTGTGATGGCAAAGCTGAATTTTCAGCAGCCATTACTCCATCCAGCACCACATGATCCTTTAGAAATCATTCTTATATGCTGATTTAGTGCTCAAGCAACATTTCTTTTTGTTACCAATACGGAAAACAATGTTTTTTTATGGAAAAGTTCAATAAGTTCAAAAGAAGAGCATTTATTTGAAATGGAAAGCTTTTGTAATATTGTAAATGTCTTTACGGTCACTTTTGATCAATTTATGCATATTAGCTGGATAAAAGTTAATTCATTTATTTTTCTTTTTAAATCTTACAGACTCAATTTTAAACGGTAACGTATATATGTACATAATTTTCACAAAAGAAACTTTTGAAAAAAAAAAAAAAAAAGAGCAACAGTGGGATCACAAAGCATATTGCTGACTATCAAGGCATAGATATAACATGGCACAGCCAATGATGTAACAAGGTCTTTTTATTAGTTAATAAGTTTAATTAGTCAGCATTGTACAATTAAACCCACAGATATCCTAGTGTCAACACAAACATATATGGACTTTACAGTGAGTGTGTATGTGTGTGTGTGTGTGTGCGCACGCGAATATACAGAATGTGTAGTGTATCTTTAAATATTTGGATATTGAAATATTGGAAGCATGAGAATTCATTTAAATACAAAGATGTCTGTGTGTATGTATATATCACAAGGTTGAAGAGCTGTCGGAATTATGATGAATGCTGGTGTGTATGCTTCGGGAGTAGTAACGTGGTATGAAGTACACAGGCCAGGCCAAATTCCACACAACAGAGATGCAGTCTAAAAAATTCAGCCTGTGTTATACCTCATGCCAGCACACGTCCCTTTAAGGAGCTGACTACACATATTAAGACAGTTCAGATCTATCAAACATTTGACCCCTCAGTTATAATTTTCTTCTCTATCCCTCACTTTTCTCTTCACAGCATCAGCTAGATAACTTCACCTGCAAACAGATACACAACGTGTAAAAAAAAAAAAAAAAAAAAAGCCTGAGTATAACGTACAAATTCAAAGAGACAAGTTTCATTCGGGCCGTGTGAGATTCGTACCTCTCACCAGTCGTAGCGCGGACGGGAGTGAGGAGGATGGTGGCGTGGTGACTCATGGCGAGGCGAGGGAGAGGAGGAGGAGCTCGGAGGCGCTGTCAGGGCCAGCTGCTGTCCAACCCCTGCACTCCGCTCACGCCCATAGTCTAAACTATGGACATTATGGGGGCGGTACCGGCCCACCTCTCTCCTCCACTCTTCATCAAAGGAAGCTGCCTCACCTGAAAGAGTGATTTTTACAATAGTGAATAAGAGAATTTCTTCACAAAGGTCCGCGACAACATTTAAGCAGTTGCCTGCAGTTACAGAGGAAAAAAGAAAAAGAGGGATTTGGCTCACTCTCTTCCAGATTGAAGAAGTCCTGTCTCTCTTCACGGTCTCCTGTGAGACGGTTCCTTGAGCGTTCCATCACGTGACCTCTCTCACCAATGTGATGCCCTATAGCCATTCGCTCCAGCCCACTCGCACTGTCCCGCATTGTTTGACGCGTCTCTCTGATCTAAACAAAAGCACACACGCACAATTTAAGAAACAATTAGGGGCGATTAAACAGTTTTGACACTTCTACATGTGGTACTTAAAGGAAAAAAATATTTACAAAGCATCAGCAATCCAGTTTTACCAGGCTATCACATTCATTTTTTTTTTTAAAGAATTTCTGCTGCCAAATGCTGGGATCATTGCAATAATAAAACGTAAAACTCAGATTAATGATGAATAACAATGATGATGGATAAGGATGCACCGAAATGAAAATTCTTGGCCGAAGTTGACCGAATACCGAACACGGTTTTTCGTCATTTTTTCCACCAAGTATTTTGCCAATTATTTTCACCATTGCATAAATTAAATAGCCAAAATGTGCTTTTTACTGTTTAAAATTTAAAACATTTATTTAACAATTTAAAATTATTTACTTAACACTTAACATTTTTTTTAACACTCTAGCACAATTTAACTTAAAATTAATAAGTTAGTAAAAGAATATTTTTTGGTAATTTTTGAGACCCCCCTTCTTGAATCAGGCAAGTATTCTTTTAAATGTACAAATAAACGCAGCCTTGCTGAGCAGAAGAGAATTCTTTTAAAACATTAGAAAATATTACAGATCCCAATTTGAACACTCTGTGTGAATTAGACTTGTGCCGGTATTCGGTAATGCGATATATCACGGTAATGAATATGCACGATATTGTTATAGCGGGCACTTCTAAATACCATGAATAATTACATATTACAAATTATTCCGAATTTTGAAGCTGTTGTAATTATTATTATTGTCTTACTTTTTTTAATTTTATTTTCCAGAACAACAGTACAATGACAATACTAACATTTATGAATGTTGATGGAGTTCTTGCTTTTTCTCAGCTTTTATTTTAGCAGAATCTGGCAGGAAGACCTCAGTTCTTCTTTTTCTTGACAACAGCACATTTATGAATGATTCTAATTACGAATTTGGGATGTTTGTCGCACGCATCACATTATAGTCACATGCCTTGTAAAAACTCATAAAAATGTTCATGAGCAACTGACGAGTAACACTGTTTCAGCGGAGCTTTTCCTCACGCTTTGGACATTGAACCCTGGCGCCGTGAGCTCATCATCGCTGTCAGAATACATGCAATTCGTGCGTGTATTAGAAAACATAACATTCTGCAGTTTATTTACTAATTGTTTAAGGCCATGTCGCAATTTCAATTATCATACAGATACAGTAACCAGCAACAACCACCCCTTCCTCTTCTCATCAGGGACATGCGATGCAGTACAAAACACTCTCTGGCTGTCGGTGCTTGTAATGATTTTTGCGTCTTTCTCTGACAGTTTTAAATGCTTCCACATTGCCAGCATGTTTGCTGCATTAGTGCGCGCCTCTATTTGATTACGTCACGTCATTGTTCAGTACAATTTATTCTGTCTTTTCGCTTATTCGGCCGAACACCGGAAGAGCTTTTTTTTTTTCTATTTTCGGCCGAATAATTTCAGTTGCCGAACATTCGGTGCATCCCTGATGATGCAGAATGTTATGGGTATGGGTATATATCCATTTGTGTGCCAGATATTCAAGACTGGGGCTCAAGAGTCAGTCACTGTCACATTCCTCTTCATGTCTAATGCTGTGTGTCCATGCGTCTCTTACACCCCCGGGAGCAGTGCGAAATTCACTGGTCTGCTGATAGACTTTAGGTGCTCCTATGTCTGTGGAGGAGTACGAGATGACTGTGGAGGAGGAGAAGGTCTGGCAGTTTGGAGAACCTGACATTTGTTCCTACAGAGTAAAGAAACAGAAAAGTTATGAGAGTCTCATTAAACAGACTCTCTCTGTTTAAATCTAGATTAAAGACACATCTCTTTGGCCAAGCATTCAAATAATGCATCTCATAATCTGATCAAATGCACATTATTATTCCTTAGCTTGGGCTGAACAAATCATTTTTGCTTGGTTGGAACAGCAGCTATGCTAATTATGTCTATTTGTTTCTCTGTTTCTGCCACGGGATTTACATCCCGTGGTAACTAGGAATTACACAAGCTTCAGTCTGGATCCAGCCCTTACAAAGACCTGAGATGACCAAACACCTGAGAAGAGATGATGCAAACCCCTCAGAGGACCTCAGATGATGCCAACCCTGAAACAACATAAACTACCAAATTTTGCTACAAGTTTGATTGCAACATATAATCATTGCTGTTACTCATCTGTTTGATTACATCATTAACTGAATTTTACTGTACATTTCTGCCATATGTACATCAATTTGACAGTCGCTACTGCTAAATATATTGTAGAAACTTAATTTTCTGTAAAGCTGCTTTACAACGATATGTATCGTGAAAAGCACTATACAAATAAATTTGAATTGAATGAGATTGTGATCAGTCAACCTCAATTTGTGCAATTGTTTTCTCTCAAAATATAGAGAACTAATATAGACTGATTGATTTAATGTGAAATCTAAAAGGTAGCAACTTGAAAGTCACAGTCTGCACTTATTCCAGTTTAAAGGCTGTAAACGATAATGCACCCTTACCATTAACAAATGGAATGTTCTTAAACTATAAACCGGAGTGTTTCAATAAGGCTGTTAGGCCACTCTGAAACTCACCATGTTCTCCATCATCCCACTCATCATGCTGAACATGTCCATGAAACCTCCACCCTGGGGAAAAAACACAGAAATCTCAAAATGCACTGACATAAATATACGATGCTGCACTATTTCTGCTACTAATCAAATAAGTGAGCTCCTTTGTAAAGAGTCAAGATGTCATACCATTCCCATCATGCCGAAGGGGGCCAAGGCTCCAGCTTGTGGCTACAAAGGGTAAAATATGGACACTTTAATCTTCAATACAAGCCTAAAATCACTCATAAACACGGACAAGAACAACTGAGACAAACTGCAGAGATGCTGAATTTAGCATTAAAAAAAATGGCAGTAAACATATTAACAGAATTATTTAACCCTCATGTTGTGTTCCGGTCATTTTGACCAAGACAGAATTTTCTTTTTCCCAAAAATGCCAATTAATGTTATCAAACTGGACTAAAACTTACTGATTTGGCTCAAAATGATCACTGACTACGTTTACATGGTTATCAGTAATCGAATGATTTACCTTATTCTAAATAAGCCAATATTATGATTATGGTGTTTACATGAGTTGCTTTTAGAATATTCCTTTCATGTTCCCGTTTTACATGTTATAATACATAGTTTGATTAATGGCGCACGTCATTACGTCCCACGTGACGCCATCCGACGTCCCCTCCGGAATTTCACATATAAACATATAGTTTGTCTTCTTGATGATGCCATGTACAGTTTTGGGTGTTTCATTTTTAATTTTATGAAAGCTTCAAGTGCAGTTAATTATTTGTACGTGCATAGACAATGGCAGTGTTGAAGCTCTTTTATTTGCTGTCAAACGGTTGACCACTGCCGTGTGTGTATCCTGTCGCAAAATGCGGCGAAAGGTCCTACACGACGGTAATAATGTGATTAAGGTGTTTGCATGTCTATACTGCACTTCAGTAATGCAACTAAAATAGGAATACTCCACATGTCTTAATTCGATTTCTGTTTACTTCGATTATGACTTTAGCCGGATTAAGGTAATCAAAAATCTCTGTTTACATGGTAGATTCTTAATCAGAGTATTGTCTTAATCGTATTACAATCGGAGTATTGTTGTCCATGTAAACGTACTCATTGATAAGTTTTTCCCACCTTGTTACACTTGTGATGTTCCCAGTCAAAAATGGCCAGCCTACAAATACTTACTTATGAATTTCTTGTTATGCAACATTACTACTAAATATTGGATTCAATCTTTTTATCAAATAGTTTTTTGTCTATTACCACAGGTTTTGTATTTCTTTGCAGACCTGACTGATCATAAGTCTCACTGAGTTTATGCACTTCAGTTTTTGAACGAAACCTGCCAAAATTATCCACAAATAATGTTTTTTTTTCTTTCACTCAAACATAAGCTCAAGAGGCCTATGACCAATCAGTTCTAAAAAACAAAAAAACTAAATCTGTGCTAACTGAAAGAAAACAAGCCAATAATAATAATAATAATTAAAAAAAAGAGGATTTGGTGGTAATACAGAATAATGAGAGATTTACAAGCAGTTTTTAAAGGCAGGTCATTTTTGATCAGTAACAACTTAGCTGAACAATTTTTGCACAGCACAAGGGTTAAAAATCTACAAATCGAGCCCTTTTTACAGCTCTATTATGTACCTGCAAGCGTGTACGTGGATGCTGGATCTGAGGGGTGAAAGGAAACGGGTCCATCCCAAAAGACCCAAAGAGACCCCTCATCTGGTGTCTGTGTGCTGCGAACGGATCCCTGTCACAACATAACATGCACATCCTTTTACAGTCATAAAATGTACTTAAAATTTATTTTAAAGCACTAATGGATTATGATGTTCACCTCAAACACATGTTGTCATTTTGATAGTACTAATACTCACATCATGTATGGGCTGTCATCCACATCATTCAAATAGCGAAACATTGTTTTGGTTCTTTCTTGGTTGGTTGAACTTGCACCAGTAAATAAACTTCCGTCTCTTTAATCAAAATCCAACACAACAGCAGCTCAGGAGCTCGTAATTGGTCAACCAATCAAGTTCCCTTTGCCAGATATGCAAAACTGTCTCAACTGGAGAATTATACAATCCGGCCTGCGCGCTCTATTACCTAATCACAATACAAACCATCAATTTACCGAGCGAGATGGATAAAACACCCTGATATACTAAAGCAGCTCTGCAGAACATTTATACCTACGCGAATACCGTCGAATATTCCAGACAGGTGCTAATCCATAACAGCCTGCGAGCTATTTCAGATTGTTAGCCTACCGTAATAACATGCGTGCGGAAATGATTTGTTTATAACCACGGCGGGCTTCGGACATACAAGTCAAGGTGAATTTTATCCAGCTGGCGAGAAAAACAGCAGCACGCAGAGCAGACGGACCGACGGAAATAACCGCCGCAGATGAGCACAGGAAGACAGTATGACAAAGGAAACAAAACCTTGAAGATCTTGGGCGAATATCTTGCGCTTCTGAGAGATTCACGCGATTTTTTCGGAACGCACTACATCAGAGTCGATGCCATGTCACGCGCCGTCACTAAAAAATAGAGTCCAGTGAAGAAGAGATGCTTTTGAAAGGAAGATTACGCGCACTTAGTAAAACAGGCACAAAAGCCAAACGTCAACAGAAAAGAGAGATGGGAGGGGGAGGAAGAGGAGGGGAAGAGCGCAGCGCACATTCCGGTGAAGAAAGATAAAAGTTTAAGCGCTGCTCTCAGAATGGCTGTTTTTGGCTCAGATGCCTTTATATTTTGGTGACGAATGATGTATTTCAATATTAAACAGAAAAATAATAGTTTATTGCCTGTCTTTTGTCGCGTCGCTAGATGGCAGTACACAGGACGTGAGTAGAGAATCTCTCAACAGAATAAAGCCACCTTTCCACTCGTTTGCGAATTCAGTCACGTGATTGTACATGTATATCCCTACTGACAAGCATTTTTTATTGTATTTCATTTTAGATTATTTAAGATTTTAAAAATAGGTATTTTATTTATTAGCGATTACAGTTAAACCTATTGACTGCCCAAAATTCAACTTTTTCTCCCTGCACCCACCTTTCTGGGGTTATATAATACCATTCCGGGGGGGTTCACAGGCTGTGAAACCAAAACTGGTTATTCTATGGCAAGTGTGAAGAACATTTTAAAAATCTAAAGAACCCTTTCCCACTGTAAAGAACCTTTTGTGGAATGAAAAGATTCCATGGATGTTAAAGGTTCTTTGTGGAACCATTGATGCCAATAAAGAACCTTGATTTTTAAGAGTGCATATTAAAAACTGTGGGTTTAGCAGCTTTCTAGTGTGTTAATTTAAAATATTATGGTTTCTTTTTTATTATAAATTGTATGTATTAATGTAGTATATAAAATAAAATAAGAAATACGCGCACTTAGTAAAACAGGCACAAAAGCCAAACGTCAACAGAAAAGAGAGATGGGAGGGGGAGGAAGAGGAGGGGAAGAGCGCTGCGCACATTCCGGTGAAGGAAGATAAAAGTTTAAGCGCGGCTCTCAAAATTACTGTTTTTGGCTCCGATCCCTTTATATTTTGGTCACCACTTGGTCATTTGAGGGTTATGTTATTGATTTTTGCGAGCGTGATGCTTAGTCATAGACGCATGTATGTTGTATAATGTTTTGGAAGTGTGAGGAAATAACGAGCTGTATAATGTAGTTAATGTCTTCAGTGCTTGTTAATTTAACTTGTTTTTTTTTAATATTATTTGGACTTTTTTTCTTTCCTGGAAAAGATTCCATGGATGTTAAAGGTTCTTTGTGGAACCATTGATGCCAATAAAGAACCTTGATTTTTAAGAGTGCATATTAAAAACTGTGGGTTTAGCAGCTTTCTAGTGTGTTAATTTAAAATATTATGGTTTCTTTTTTATTATAAATTGTATGTATTAATGTAGTATATAAAATAAAATAAGAAATGCAAGCATTTCTCAGACTATTGGACCACATTCTTTCCATTCTAGTTTGTGTGTCTTTAAAACATATTCCATTTGGATTTATAGAATACTATATGAAAATCCCTCTATCGTCTTTACGCTTTAACCATAAATTAAAGCTGTAGTCTTAATAGGAACTACAACCTGTGTTGGGCGTGTGCGCAGGGTGGGCTAGCTGGATATTGCAGGAACTACGACGAGACGTTTTTCGCTTTCATTCACGTCAGATTGATATACTCTCAAACCCGGACGTAACCAACGCCTAGTCGCCGGAGAGGAACGGTAAGCAATTCTTAATCTGTAACATTATTTTATTTGGCTTTTAACTTATCAAACGGTTGTTAAACAGTACACGTTTTAGGTCAAGTTTTACCGTTGAGTAATTTTGATTTAGGATGATCTGTGGCCCTCTCAGCAGTGCTAGCGCGTTAGCTTAGCCTCGCAGCATCCTGTCGCCCTCATTAAACAAAACTTTGATTTACTTCACTGTTGACAGATCTCCCAAAGATTTATTTCATTTTCTGTTGTCACCACAAACTCCACATTTCTTCGCCATTTACTGTAGTATTTAATTAAGTAGATTTATCAGGCGAAGTTTTTAACTTTATTGGTGGTGGAAGAGAGCATGATTAAATTATTCTAATGTAAAATCAGACTTTCAGCATGAATAAAATACGTATCATCATCTCATGTTTAGAAAAATCGGCTTTGAATAAACGACACAGGTTAATTAGTGTTTTACTTTAAAGCTACGTGGTATTCGTTTTTTTTATCTTCCCAAATTGGACTCCAAATGTAGTAATTACTTAAGGACGAACACTTTAATGTCTAATGTCAAAGTAAAATAATTCAGAAACGGTAATGTAGCTGAAAACCAGACGATATTTTTACGACAAAGCGACAAAGTCGAGCCTTCCTCTCAGCTGCGTTAATATGCGGAAGCAAATAAGACGGGACACATTCTTGTAACTAGATGTCTTTCTGTATGCCTGCTTTTGTCTCTGAAATCACATCACATTATTGGCAATTCTGTTAAATGCGTTCAAACTGCCTAATTGTGTAACAGTGGGAACAATGAACGCTGGAACTGCTCAAAACAAATGATTCACTCAAAGGTATTTCTGAATCCCAGGAGAACACCAGTAATAACGTGATTTTCAATCTCTCTATATAGATGCAGACCATAAAGTGTGTGGTGGTTGGAGATGGAGCTGTCGGAAAGACCTGCCTCCTCATCTCATACACAACCAACAAATTCCCCTCTGAATATGTTCCCACGGTAACGGAGTAAAGGGTGGTGGGCTCTGGGACAGAGATTCAGGGGGAGGGGGCGCAGTGATCGAATGATTATGAGTAATAATGCTAGCTATTATTTGTTGTGAGCTTTGTGCTGTTTAAGACTAGGAACTCTAATGTATGTGAGTATTTTGTAGGATATTTGATTAGGCTGAAACATTGTTAGTGTTGTATGTTTAGTGTTGTCTGAACTAAAATGTGATGTACATTATGTGTGAATTAGATGTTTTTGTGTTTCTTTACAGGTTTTTGATAACTATGCTGTCACAGTGATGATTGGAGGTGAACCGTATACACTGGGGCTTTTTGACACAGCAGGTAATGCAGTCTGGTGCTTTCTTTACACTTGACATGAATCTGATTTGATTCTGGTTAGCATAATAGTGATTTAAGTGTCAACATAATGCAAAGAGACCTGAGAAAATAGCTGTTGCTGTGGAAAAAGAAGATGGAAAAACTGGAAAAATGGCACTGAACTTGTGGGAAAACAAGTGACAGGCATTTTTTATGCATCAATTCATACTCTGTCCAGATCCGCTGACTCATTCACTCATTCACTATCTAGTGAATGTCACATAGTTCAGTATATGAGGACAAGTGAGAGAAAATGCATATTTGGATACCGCTTTGGACAATATTATGCATATTTGCTCTGCATATTACGCTCTGAAGACGATAAAAACAATTTTATATCCAACCTGCTTGTTCAGACTGATACTTATTATTTACTTATATGAAAATATTAATAGGTTTTTAAATTGCATGTTGATTTACTATAAACATATTGATACTACAATCTGTAGAATTAAATAGGTGTAATAGGGTAAAAATCACATCTTGCCCACACACAATTCCACCATGTTCGTTGATACACTGCCGTTTAAAAGTTTGGGGTCAGTAAGTTTTATTTTCTTTCAAGAAATTAATACTTTTATTCGGTAAGCAGCATGCATATTTTAAATAAATGCTCTTTTTTCACTTTTCTATTCAGATAATCCTATAAAAAATGTATCATGGTGTCCACAAAAATATTAAGAAGCACAACCGTTCTAACAATAATAATAATAATAATAATAATGTTTTCAATAAATATCTTAAAATATAACACCATTATTTTAAACGGTAGCAATATTCACAATATTACTGTTATTACTGTATTTTTGATCAAATAAATTCACCTTGGTTGGCATAAGACACTTCTTTTCAAAACCACTTCAAATTTTTATTGACACTAAACTTTTAAACATTGTGTACATTAATTTATAATTATCTAGCGGTTTTATTTTAAGATGCATTGGATTTCTCTTCAGTTTTAGCTGTTGTGTTCATCTCGAATGACTCTCGGAGTTGAAGAGAGGTGGTAATGAACTGCGTCTGTTCTCGTTTTCTCAGGTCAGGAAGACTACGACAGACTTCGGCCTCTCAGCTATCCGCAGACAGACGTCTTCCTTGTTTGCTTCTCTGTTGTTTCTCCTTCCTCCTTTGAGAATGTGAAAGAGAAGGTAGGTTTTCATCAAATGCTTTCTGCTTTCTTGCTGCTCTCACTGTTTGGGACATCAGAACCTGAAAGAAGCACTTTTTTCTGATAAGATTATTGACATTTGCTATGTATGGGATACTAAACTGTCACGATTTAGCATTTCAATGCTATATCTATGGTACGGTTTTATGTACAGATACATTACAGTATTGATACTTGCTTTAACACATTGTATGTTTCATACAGTCAGGCTTTAGTTGGATGACACTGACGTCACATGTTGTTTAGTGTCACTAAAGCACTCTTTAGCAGTACCTGATTTTCCTGCTGGACTTGGAGAATGCAACTCATGTGAATAGACCTGAGATGTATTTAAACTGATCAAAGCGTACATGAAAAGCACATTCAATACTGAGACATATCAGATTTCTGGAGAAATGCTGTGTTTTTGTAACTTACTTCCAGATGCATATTTGTCAGTGGTTTTCTATTCAGATTTATAGTGTAAATATATACTTTTAAATTAAGATGTTTACTTGGCTCTCTTTATTACGCAATTATCATTGATCAACTGCAGCATTCTGTGCACATTTTTTTTACAGTCTACTGTTTTACAGTCTATTTAAGGAACCGATTTCCTGCACAGTGGTGCTAGTTTCATGTTTCCTGTATCACTTCACAGTCTTCTTAAGAAGCTGTTTTTTAAGCGATAAAATGCTTAATAAACTGTTTAATGTTGTCTAACATGGAGGATGAATAACCTTTTTACCATTTTTGTAGTGTGGAACTGAAACAGAAAATATATGTGAAAATAGGCAGCACAGATTAATTTGTAAGATAAAGACAGTGCAGAGAATTCAAGTTCTTAATGGCGTGGACCCATAGGGGCCATTCCTTATTTTTTGAGTAATTTATGAGGTTTATTATTATTATTTCTAGTATGCACACACACACTA